AGGGTTGATAAAACAGACAATGCAGGGATAAAGCATTATAAATAAAATTGAAAATGTGGCCAAGCCAGACCCCCTGTGGACTTTTCACATTGCTGTAGAGAGGATATTTTAATAAGTTAATATATATAGTAATTTCAAAACTCTAGAATGCAGTCTATACCAGTAGCTTCATAGGGGGGGAAATGGGAGTCAGAGAACTAAAATGCTAGGAATGCTAGGAAGCATCCTAATTTTTATGAAGATACAAGCTTGAAGAGAATTAGGGAAATGAGTCCATCTGTTCAAGTTAGTAACCACCTGTTTAAAAATTGTTATTAGGACCACTCACTGTGGTGACATGTCAAGTGGAGTAAATCTCAATGTCAAAGAATCAGAAGTGTTTGATCACTAGCGGTTTCCAAGGTATGCAGGCTTTCTCATGTATAGATATTATACACTGATAATGCACCAGAATTATTGAAAATAGAAGGCATGACAAGAATTGAGAGATGCCATTGACATATAACAATATATCATCAGTACAAGTAATATAAAATGGTGAGTATCATTAATGACTACAGGAATCGAAGTACTAAGTTTACTAACCTGAATTAGAATTTCAAAAGACAAAAGCAAATACAAAAATGTGAAAGTGGGCATCACTCACTAACTTCCCAAAACCTTAGATGACAAAAATACATATATAATACAGGTCTAGTTAATAACAAATTCAGCTTCTTATTTTTAACTTACTTCTCAATAAGTGAAAAGATTAGTTAAAAAAATGTAGGCTATCCATTGCCTCTGGGTTTATCATACTTGTATGTAATAATTATCTGTAGTAATTGTAAGGAATTAAAATTTTTACATCCAGCATTCACCACAACCTGTAGAATCACCTTGTACGTGCACTTTTCTACTATTTTAAACCAATTTTCTGTGCCGCCGATTCATAAAAGGTTTTATTGCCAACAGCAGATTCATTCATCACGATAACCGATCCTTTATCCGTCTCTGCATGAGCTTCAGATGATTTCTCAAGAAACCTGATGAATGATAAACTCCATGTGCTCAACTGCTTGAAGTAATAATGAAGGTTTTAACCCAGACTCTACAATCTGGGTATTTCTGATAGGGATACAAGAAGAAAAGCTTTAATTCAACAGATAAATCTCTTCAAATGTTATTCAAAATGTTCAAAAAGGAAATTTTAGTCAGGGAAATACTGGTTCCAAGTGTGTCCTTGGGTGATCTGTGTCACTTGCAAAGAGTTGGCAGATATGAAGGGCCTTCCTCATCCAATTAGTATTTAAGGTGGAATTACTTGATTTACCACCTTTTCCATTACAGTCAGAACATCTGCAGAACTGACACCAGCAGTGTCAATGCATTCCTCTCTGCAGAGAGGCAACACTGTTTTAATTTGTTGGTTTTTCAACAATCCAAAACTGCACCTGCATTTATAATGACATCTTCTATATTTTCCCATAACTGTGCCCAAGTGTACTTTCCTTATTGTACTGATTTTAATTAATTTTGCAGTTTTAACAACCACACCCATTAGATACCCATTCTTTGTTTGTGTGAAACATAATAATATTGTAATATTATTATTCATAATATAAAAATAATAATATTATATACAAATACAAACAATAAGATAATCATCTCTTTCCTTTGTGAAGCATACTGGTCATTGTAGGAATTTCAGACTGAATCTAGGACAAGCCAATTCTCCCAAGGAGTTACAAAATACAGTAAACATGAGCATAAACTTGGGATTTTCTGGTAGCCTTCTGTTTATCACTTTAAGCTTATAAACAACTTACAGATCAGAGGAGTGCAAACGTTGTCCATCTAGGCTATTTGGTAGTTAGTAACTAATCGATCCAATAATCTTATTCTTGAAATGAACCAGAGTATAGACTTCAGCAACGCAACTGGATAGCTTGTTACATAGTCCCACAAACCTATGTACAAACGACTGCCGCATGTTACTGGAAAGCATGATACATAAATAATGAAAATAATCATGGTTTATGTGCCACATATACCTAAATATGTTTTAGAATGCTTGTAAAGTTAAAAAAATTGATGAAACATTAGGGTGCCATCCTTAACCAGTTCCTCCTTGCCATGCTGCTCCATTTATAAGTACAACCTGATTTAGGTTGTGTCTGGGTGCCTTCCACTTCTTGATTAATCATTAATGATTGACTTCACCAAGCTCAAAGAGATCCTCATTTTTAAACTCTCCTCTTGATCTGTGCATTCATACAACTGAGAGACTTTACAGATATACCCGTATTTATTCTGGAATTGTGTGAACCACTTTTACTGCACACAGAGGCCACTCAATTAACTGTATGGCTTAATAAGGTGAACTTTAATTTAGGTTTCCACAGCAATGGGTTTGAATGTTTATGCCATCATTACTTTTGTCTTTCAACATGGACAAAGCAACAACATGGGAAATTGTGCAAGGGCATAAATACATTTGCAAGACACTGTAAATCTAAAGAAGAATGATGCAGAACTGAAAATACTGTAACATGTTAAATTGTTACAAGTGGTACAGTACACATTTTTCTTTTGACTAAATAAAGACAAATTTTCATATAAATTAAAAGCTGCAAATGTTTCGTAGTGCCTCAGTTGAAGAGTACGGAATAAATACTGTAGAGCTCTAAACAAAAAACTTTAACAGTAAAACTTTATTTCTTTTAGGTTTATTTCTGCTGCTGTAGGAAGAACATGCCTACAATTTTCCACAAAAAAACCCACAAGCACTTGAAAGACTGGAAGATATACCGTAACTATAATAAAGCCATTTATTTCCATTCTTTGGCAGAACACTCAGACTCATACCTCATTAATTGAAATTCTTTTGTGAACACTCTACCTTAGTATTAGTTATAACAAAATAAAATTCAGATACAACTTAAACTAAAAAACAATACAAAACTGGAGCTTCACAAAACAAAGAAGAGGTAACAATGGGCATATTAATTTCTTAAGACAAGAAAAGACATATGTCCATTCTATCATAGTTTTTGCACTATGATTCCTACTAAATACTGAAGATTTAACGAATTAGAAGACTGATCCTACACTTGTCCTGGTCTTTGGGCCAATCTTCCTACACACATCCTGACAGAACTCTTGGAACAGTGTACAGGTATCAACAGAATAAAAAAACAGAAAAGATTTACCATGTGATAAACCACTTTAAAAAGAAACTAGATGCCTTGCATAGTAATAACAGCTTCATTCACAGCTGACTAATGTCTTCAGGGATTATATGCCAAAATTTTAGTGCAGGCTTGTATCATAGTCTTTTTTGCCAAGTGGAAGAAGGCCAACAGCAATTTCTGGCTCATTTTCTGCATGTCATAGTAGTTACACACCAAAAACTAAGGCGTGACAATGGTGTGCATAAACATGCACATTTCCAGAGCATTTTTTACATACAATTAACGTAAGGAAGCTCTCTCTTAACATACACAGAGTCAAAGGAAGAAATAAAATGATATGTGGTACAAAAATTCTAAGATTGCTAAAGAGCTAAAACATACTTAGCAAGTTGTTTTTTTAAGTCTCCTGAAAGCCAAGAGCAGATGACGTGTTCTGAAAGCTAGCTACAGAGAAAAAAAAAATTAAATGGAATTTGAACATAACTTTGAGTCACAGATCTCCTAAACAGATGCAAATTAAATTTCATGTTTTCTTCAGAATTATTTACAAATCTATAAGTTTAAAATCTAACCATTTTGAAGAAACCAAATGGAATTAAATTCCATTTGGTTTCTTCAAAATGGAAAGAAACCATTCCTTTTAAGGGTAGGTACCAAACCAGTGTAAAGGTTATACTGTAGATTCATGTTAATTTACTGCAGTCATTTTCTCACAACCTGAGTTTCACTTTAAGAAACAAATTGATACCACAGCTTGATGTGCCAGAATATGAGATAAGCCTGCAATTTGTTAAAAGTACTGTAACAGACAAAATGGCAATGACTTACAATAGTACAAGGACTACAAGTACACAGAGAGGTAAACTAACCTAAGTACTTATTCATGGCAGAATATCAATCTAACTAATGGAATAAAAACAACTAATACATAAGCAGTTCAGATCCTTCAGTTTCTTGTGATTACATAGCAAACCAACGTAAGAGGTAATAATTTAGACTATGGACATTTCCTGACTTGCAAAGAAAACATCACTATAAAATAATTAACCAAAGGGGTCTCAGCATATTAGAGTGGACATTCATTTATGTACAGTAAGATTTAATTATTATTATGAAGATAGATATAACATTTTTATAATATATAACAAATATAATGTATACAATAATTGTCCTCTCTGGCACAATTTTGGAAAAACATTGAAATGTTTCATAAACAGCTCAACAATATGAGACGGAAACAGTGGAAACATTAACAATCAAGGTCATGAACAAGTCATCAAGAAGAATACTTCATGGGCAACAATAGGCAAGACTATTGGTGTAATTTCACAGCAAAGAATTGTCTCCTGCCACCCTTTCATACAATCCTAGGTCAAAATGTTATACTGATCAGACACACGTCATAGAGGGTGATACAACACATAGGGTATGTGCCCTTGGACATATACTGTTTCAAACCACACTGGTGTTGAAAAATAAAATATTTTTGGTTACTGGCACGATCACTTGCCCAAGTTAAAATAATGTTTGTGTGTTGTCCTTCTTCATGATTTAGGATTTATTTTCATATATTCATTTTAGACTAATAAATGCACAAAATGTCATGCAATCAAAGGGCAGCACTTATGAGATTTAACCTGAATTCAGGAGTCAACAGCTCAAATGCACAATACGACCTTGAGGCAAATATTAATCTAAATCTAACAACTTACAGTACTCTAAATGACGTAAAACCATGAAAGCAGTATCTGGATATTTTAGTGTTTCCAAGGAAACCGTGTTAAAGATCATACACAGACACAAATGTTTCTTTGGTCTTTGTCTTACTTGTTCTCATTGCTGGCATCATATCGAGGCATTGGGTCGAGGTCATTGCCATTTACATCATAGCTGGCCTGTGTATCCTGCAACATGGAAAAGAAATGTCGGGTTACATTGATGGATCACACTCAAGGATCATGAAATGATTACACAATCTGCTGTAAGAAAACTCTTGGTTTGTAATCCATACACATCCAACGTGTTCAGATTTTCAATCTGAGTTTTTATTTGAGTGTGAATTATTTTTCTCATTTACCATAGAAAAAAATAATATATCATCATAGACACACATTTTCTAAAAAGAATGAACACCTCTTGTACTCAGATTGCCATAGTCATTGTCGTCTGCTATTGCTGCAACAAACAGCAGGACCACCCTATTAAATTTACAGTGATGAGCTTTAGTTTGTAAATTCTGCTTTATTGTGAGTCATCCAAGCTATAAAAGTAGAAGCTGAAAGCTTTCTATTTATTTTAAAGATATGAGTTAATACAGCTTTAAGCTGAAAAGCACATTTGAACTTGTTGACAGCTCCAAATATAATTAGGCAGTTACAGTCCATGTGTACAGAGCCTAATTTTAAATAAAACAATTGCCGTTTTCTCAGCCAGATGGAACTCATCTAGGACTAAGAAGAGGTATGGTCAGTGTGGTTCCATCACCAGGTACTGCTTTTGAAATGCTTTGTTTTGGAAAAAACTCCACAAATGTTGCTGAGGTTTAGCTACTTTTGAATGTTTTGTTTTAATTACAATTTACTGCATACATACCATGTGCATGCATACAATGTATATTAAATGTAGCCAAATATATTGAATAAAGACATAAAGAGCAAAAATAGCAAGGCACCATGACAAGTTACAGAAAAGTGCTTTGTAGCAATGTACAATAACAATGACAACAACAAATAAATGCTACATGGTTGGGTTCATAGTGTTGGTATTTACCCTATACTTCTATATAAAATAATAGGTATTCTTCAAAGGTTTACACAGCTGTCTTTAATTTGATTGTCTCACTACAGGCACTCACAAATGCCAAAAATCTCAGTGACCAAACAGTTACCATACACTTTGGTGGTATAAATCTTCAATGCTTTCAGATCATTTATAGGGAAGACAGAATAAAAGTACAGAAATGGAGAGGAAAGAAGAGAGCAGGCAAAGCCTGGAGAGAGAAGAAACTGCTGTAAGAGAGAATTCTCTTCAACATACTAATTGACCGAATCTATTACGGCAATTTGAGCACTAAGAGAACTGGATTCTAGGTCTTACCAAAAGGACGTGTTGTCTTATATTTTGGTATTGATTTCTTATTTGTGTTACTCATCAAGCGAAACTAAAATTGTTATTGTTCAGTGATCCATTGTTTTATGGGGAAATCAGTCCCCATTTTTAGCATCCATTTTAGAGATTAAGACCTGAAAAGGATATTTGTATAAGAAACTAGTTCCCTTTTTTATTTATGCTTTATTTGAGTCTGAGATGCCAGATAGAGTTTCGAATTTCTGGGAAATGTGTATTTGTATGTGTTATTAAAAATTAATATTTCCTGTCCCTTTTAAGCTCTCTGTCTTATAATTATGTTATTTCCATGCCGCGCAGGAGAAAAAAAAGAACACATGCCAGGTTGCTCTCAATTTTCCCTGAAAAACACTATCCAATTGCATAAAGCTGCTGTCAGAAACTGATACTGATACTGATTTGATCAGATGAAGACTAATATTTCTTATTTAGTAATTATTACCCCATAGTTTGTAACAAAGATATTTATTGAAATAGCATAAACACAAATGTAGAACTCAAAAGGCTTCAGCAAATAACGGAGTGCCCTACTTGTAAACCTGCAGGCTACAAACTGGCTTATACCCTCAGAAAACTGCTGAATCAGCAAGCATTGAATTTTCACATGACAACGTATTAACACTTAGTTAGCATAAAGGGCAGTTAATGTAAAAAAAAGTTTCACTGTCATATTCAAAACCATCAGAAAAAAATGCCGAAACATTTGGCGTTACAGCTTTGGTTTGATGCAAGGAAGCAATAGATGTAAAATAAGTTAAAGATGCATTCATGGACTCTAGACTGTTTTGATACAATTGTCATTAGGTATGGATTTCTGATAGCTTTCGGAATACTAAGAATGTAAATAATTTACACTGTATATCATACATAATTTAGTGCTTGTTAGGTCTCCATAATTAAACAGAACTATTCCATTGTATGGTTCTGATTGTAGGTAATTTAAATATTAAGTTGTGAAAGTGTTTAAAATTTAAAAACAGCTTTCATAATCGGAGTATAGGCCCCTAAACAGTTTATTTGAGTAACCTATACATATTCTAGGTAGGATAAGAAGCACTGAAGGGTTTCAGTAAAAAAGAGAAGCTTACATAATTCTGTATGAGATCCGGGTGATTTCTTTCAATGCCATCATCCAATATGGTAACCACAACATCTTTTCCAGTGTAGCCCCTCTTCCAGGCTCCCACAATGTTCATATCAGATTGACAGTTGTGGATATCATCACTGCAATGCTACAGAAAAAAAGACAGTTTGCACATCAATAACAAAACATGACAAAATATTAACATATGGCAGTGTTATAACAAAAAAGGTAAATGCATTAGAACATACTATGACCCCTGTTCATAAAGAGTTTACTAACACGTTAAATCTTCTGTGTGTTTTAAAAAAGGATGATACAATTTTGGATCACAAAACAGAAAGAAATGCTTCAACATAAAGCAGTAACCAAATGAATGCAAGTAACACCTTATAATTATTTTGTGTTGTACATTTAGTTAGGAAAAACAGATGTAAAACATTCATTTTTGATGCTTAGAACACATGATGACTTCTATAGTCCACATAATGTCCATTTCAGTCTTCATTCTATCATCAGCTGATTGTGACCAAATTCTCCAAGTGAAATCGGCTTAGCATTACCACAAAAAATGTATTGGACTACACTGCCTGACCGACTTCAAATTGGTGTACAACACCAATCTCTGTCTTGCTATGAGCCTGCAGTATTTAGCTCAGCATCACCAGATACAGAGTTGGGATAAGTCAGCCAGGACTGTTACTGCCCCTAATGAAATAGTAACTACTCAGATTTCCCAGGTGGCTGTAGACTCTCACTCACTGAAGACGTTGGTGAGTGGCATGCCACTGAAACTCCTGTATGACACTTTAAAACTCAAATCAATGGCTCAATGGGTTACAGGAGTCTCTGCTTTTTCTTTCTCTCCACATGGGTTCAGCTGTCATGGTTTTAAGCCCAGGTGTAAAGATACAAATAAAGATACCAATAAAGATCTCAAATTGGGTAGGGATACAACAAAAATATCTGGTGGTCCTAACTTCTAAAAAGAAGAAACTAAAATAGAGGGGGAAAAAACAAATCTCTAGAAGTTAATGAGTAACTATTAAAAAAAACATTTAATTTGCTTCAGTTTCTATTGTCCACTTCTAACTCATAAAACCATTGTGACAAAATGAGCAAGTGTGTAAGATGCCTTCCAAAATCATATTTACCTTGCAGCTGACTTAAAATAATATAGCTGAGCATTCTGCTACTATTTAATTAAAGCACACTGAGTGATGCTTTGCTTCCAATGGAATTTCCCCCTCAAAATCTTTTCAAAATAATAACCAGAACCTCATGCATCACAAGGCATTTGCTTACAATAGAAGAATATCATGTTACTTTCTTTAAACTGTGATACTTTACATACAACAGATTTGATATTAAACCTTCTTTTATGAAACCTCATGTGCCCTTCTCAGTTACAGAACCATTTTATAATTACACTGAATGAAAATATCTTATATTTAAATTTTATTTTGAGCACAGCAAGAAAAATAAAATGCCTTAAAAATCAGAGCAGATTATGCATTTGACTAAGTGTCAAATGATTCTTGAAAAAAGAAACAGGACAAATGTCATTTGTAAATATGGCATATAAATCACATTTTTAAATGTGAAGAGCAGCACAGTGACACAGTGGTGAGCATTGCTGCTTCGTAATGCTGGGGCCCTGGGTTCAACTCCCAGGCTGCTATCAGCATTGTGTTTGTGTGGGTTTCCTCTGGGTGCTTTGATTTCCTCCCACAGTCCAAAGACATACTAGTAGGTTAACTGGCTTCTGGGAAAACTGGCCCTGATGTGAGTGTCTGTATCAATGCGTGTCCAGGGTATATCTTGCTTTACGCTTGACGTTGCTGGTTAGTATGTGGTCCAGTTCCCCCCCAAAACCATCTTTCCTATTTTCGAATATACAGCTCCATGACCCAAAACACTTTTTTCCACATAGCACTTGTAAGACACAGCTACCCTTTGAGTGGTATGGACAGAATTGTATATTAGGCATTTGGTAGACTCCTAGTTATAATGTCTCCTAGTAATATTTTACATCCTGGAAATTTTAACTTGCGACTGCCAGTATTATAAAGCAACTTGATACACCGAAAATATTGTAAATATACGTCTCAGTAATCATTTTCATTGGTTTTGGTAAGTTATTTTATGTGAGTTATTAAGAAGCCCAATCTTAAAATAGTAAAAGAAAATCTCAGTGATACTGAGTACAAGTCTGAAAAAGTTCAGAAAAACAACCTAAAAAAATGTATATTCCAAACTACCTGATATTGCAGTGTTTAATGGCTACAAAACAGCAACAGGAACAAAATATTACTTTTCAGCACCTCATCTGGAAGTGGCTTAGTTTATAACCCTGATGGAAGGGAAATGAAATCACACTCAACCCAGGTGTCTGTACTTCAATTTTTTATATTTTTCACACTATGTCAACCACTGCAATGGAAACATACTCAGTTTGTGCAGACTGACAAATACTTCCAGGTACTTCTATAATTTAGTACCACAATTTCAGAATTTGCCAATTTGCTATGCTTTTTCCTTGTGTTGAAAACAGTTATTCCGTTTTGTCTCAACAATGTCTTGACATTGTTGTGAACTGGAAAAATAAGTTAAAATTGATGTTTTTTGTCAAGTTAAAAGAGGTTTATTGCGGGCACAACAACATCATACCCTGGATTCAAGTCATTGTCGTGTTTGTGCCGCCACCTACCACATTCACAAAATAATGAGCAGTGTAATAAAATGGATATCAACTGATTATTTTCTGAATGGCAGTTTTAGCTACAGATAACCTGGTATAAAGATATTAATACAATCTCAAGGTTCTTTTTTTATATTGTTAACTACTTAAAGGGCTAGAAACTATACAGACTATTTGCTATTTACAGTAATCCTCCACCGATAACCAGGAGTTTGTTCTTGGTGGGCCATCCAAAAAAGGATTGTTTGTCTCTTATTTCTTTTACAATTTTAGTCTAGTACATTTTATTTGACCTTATTCCACACATGATTATTCCCGGTAACTATACTTACATGTAATATATGTTTTATACTGTAAGTAGTCTTAGAATTAGTAAGAAAACAATGACAAATGTTTTGCTTCAAAACCATGACAACTAATAAAATCTTGCAGAAGACTGCCAGAATTACCAGACAGTGTGCAATCGAATATACTGTTTAATTTTCTTCACCGGGTACTCCACTCTTTTCATTATTTGGAGTTACAGTTAGAAGCTGGTTAAGAAGAAAAAAATGTATTTTTTAAAGATTTGGGTACTTGTTTGTATAAATCAAGCTATATTCATATTAAATTAGGGACAATTTTTAGAAGCAAGAACAATATTGTTTCTCTGTTTTATAATGCAAAGCCCAGCTAGCATGACTTTATTTTCTCTTTTCACAGAAGTGCCCGGCAAGGCAACTCTAGGCTCTTAAGTAACATTATAGACTGCTTGTTCCCTTCCAGGCAAAAATGCAGTCATTACCTCTTTGAGAAGTGCATTCATCAAGGCCCCTCCGCTGAGTACATTATCAAAGCAAATCTTTTGACTTTGTTGCATCTTCTGAGGCCACTGGAAGTTCACTAGAAACACTGCAGTTTTTGTGCTAAGAGATGGCTCTGTCCCTTTCCCAGGATGTAATTTCCCTTTAATTCTCTTTTCTTTCTTGTCTTATATTTTTCTCCGTAGCAGAGCTGGAATTGCAGAAGTGGATTCCCTTAAAAAGCTCCGATATATTAGACTCCAGCCCTGATGTAGGCACCTAGGTTCCCAAAAGAATATGTTTGTCCAATAATACACCTCTAGGCATTAAGAAATCATAACCTTAAAGCCAGTGACTAGGTAAGTGTATCGTACCAAAACGATCAAAGTTCCTTGTATAGCCTCCAAAACCCCCTCACACTCCCACCTGCAATGTTGAAATAAGCCATTAATTATATTTACTTTGCATTTGGGCTGTCCCATTTGAATTTACTAAGAAACAGGAACCAACTAATACTGTACGCTTACAACTACAAAAGACTATTTTTAACTCAGAATTTTATTTTCTTAAGTTGACACAACAAAACCCTGCTCTTACACAACACTGTAAAACAGTTTCCTTAACATTATTTTGATTCATTCTGATATAAAATTACCTTGGAAAGTAAGAGACAAGTGTTAAGCAGAAGGTAACATACTGCCTGGGGATAACTGCAGATTCAAATCTGCATTATAGATATACTTAAAACATTTTCCTATAGCCACTCTCAGCATTTTCTTGTCCATATGACAAAATAAACAAATATGTAAACACTTAACACAGATATACTTACTGAAAAAAGCTACAAAGTGAAGTCACCCATATAGCAGCTGTGTTTACTACTATTTTGACAAAAACATTTCTAAAGCATTCATACCACAGGTGTGGAAATCATCTTGATTTAGAAAACCATAACTATCATGTGCGAGAGTGGTTATCAAAACACTTGAAAAAGAAAAAGGGAAAGATAAATATAGGTTAACATACATCATGTATTTAACGTAATAAAGCAGTGAACAACCCTTTCATACACAGGGCACCAAAACATACATTTGGATGCTTTTCAGGTATCAAAAGACTTTTGCCTAGATTTATTAATATTAAGACACTGGGTGTGAAGATTTAACACTATGGATTGCTAAAACTGTATGTTTATGTTCCCCTCCACTTAATTTCTATCATATGTTTATCATACTTTATGTGATATAACATCAGGATTTCACTCGGTATAGTTCTTTATAAGAAACATATGACTCAAAAGGTCTATTTCTGACCCGTCAGGATTGTGGATATTCTCATATCCTCTCAAATCCACTTCCAGGATCTGCACATTTTGTGGCTAATGAGTGGCAAATGCTGTGAACTCTGGGAATATACATGTTCTATAGAGGAACAATTTAAAGGTTTATTCTGTGCTGAAAAGAGAAGAAAGAAAACACAACGTTTTGGCTGTGGAGCCACTTCGGGTGCTTGCTGGGGCTGTGCATTTCAGTGATGTTCTTGAGACGACAGTTTAAATCCAGAGTCCATTTGTTAGCATACGCTATATATTTATACTGCTTACTAAACCATGTGTTGGTACCAATGTGCTACAATATATTTATTATAATAATATTTTACAGACAATTTCTTCATAAATGAGGGTAACACAGACAAGAGTTTTTTAAAACCAAGTACTAAAAATGCCCCCAAACCCAAATGGTTGTAGGAGTATGGAGCAAGCTGCCCAGCCATGTTGTTGAAGTCAATGCCCTGGCTTCTTTCAAGAAACATCTAGATGAGATCCTTCAATCAACTTGTTACAAACTAATAAACAGACTAGATGGGATAACATCATAAATACATTCACTTCAAAGCTTAACTAAAACCGCATTGTATAGTGAGCAAGGATTGTTATCCAAGCAAAAATGTATGATCCACTAGAAGCTATGATAAAAGACTACTTTGATTAAACCCATTTTAATAAACACTTAAGAAGTTCCTCAGTAAGTGTTAAAGGTGTTCCTCTAAATGTAAAAGCTCAATCCTAAAAAAATATGTAGTTAATTTTAAAATATTTAAGCAGTTTGAGAAAAAAACATAACATGACTTCAAAACTGTACAGGACATTTACTATCTTCACTGCTTTAAAGTATAACTTTCTTAGAAAACAGGAGGATGTTGCCTCATTATGACTCATCATTCTGTCATGGCTGGCAGAAAATCTTGTTTTCTGATTTTACATCTCTTTTGTGGCTACTTTCCAGACTATTCCACGTTTACAAATTATTTGCTCAGAAAGTTCAAACTCTCATTGGAAAAAGGAAGTTGTTTGTTAATTTTAAAATTAAACTTGCTTTTTCTGGTCAATGTTCTAAAAGTAAGATAATCATTGAACAATTCCTAGAATAATCCCACATTTGAGTTCTGAAATAGCAGATTAATTACTTTTTATGGAAATACATTAAAGGTAACATTTAACTCTATTTGGCTTAACAGTATAAAACAAAACCAGCAAATGAACTTTACCTTTCCCATTTTATTATCAGCAATTGTCACAGCAGGCCTAGGTCAAAAACTACATTATAATAAACACTTCATTATATCGGGACCTTTTTTGTATCTGAATAAACAGTTATTGAAGAGATTCCCAATCTGTCCTGATAATAGCTACAATTGAAATGAGCATGTATATAAAATTTCAGTGTATATATACAGTATCATGCACACCACATTTCAAAAATAACGTTTAGAACAGAAAGCTTCACAACAGTAACCACAATTACAGCAGGCAATGCAAAAAAAGAGTTTTATCATAATTGTACCAATGAAACATGAAAAAAGGCAGCAGGAACAGCAATTAGTCTGTAAGCATTGCAAAGAACAAATAATTACCAGGCCAAAATAAATAATGTTGGTATTGTAAGAGCAACAGTTTTCCCCTACTCCAATAAAACAGTCATCAATTGTCTTGTCCAGGTTACCCTTTCTAAAAGGGGCTTTGGTTATAGTACTTTTTCAATTGCATACCATATTTTGAAGTTTTAATGCCTAGCACCAGTTAATGATTATTATTAGGTTCAAAATAATGAATGTCTGCCTATTTTGAAAGCACTTACCATTACATTTGCATTACAGCTTTTTAACTGGCACTCAGACAGACAAGAGGGTGTCTTGGAAAAAAACATCCAAAGAGCTCTCAAAAAGAAAAGGCTTTCATTTGCATACTTACTATGTACCACATGCTTGTCCACTTGGGGTCATTAAAGTAAATGGATTGAGGAGCACTGGCTTTATAATCCCTTTTTATCCTCCTTTTAACCACCTGCTGCTGTATCCATTCCACCTGCCAACAAGAGAGAAAAACATTGTAACATGAACTATTGGTAGAAAACCAATAGTCTTAAGGAACAGTCCAAAATTGCCCACCTACACCTTCTTATTTTATTTCATTTATTTTATTTTTGACCCTTCTTTTATAATTTATGTAGTAGATATACCTTCAGCTGACTGAATTATCAATAAATGTAGTCAATAGAAGGTATACCTACTAAATAAATTACAATAGAAGGGCAAACATGTTTATTATATAAATGCTGAGTATGACAGTAAACAGCTTTCTAACCATGAACTTCACAAACTGAACTGGGTTACAACACTGAGTCAAACCACTGATTAATATGTGGCATGTTTTCTTGAACACAAGTATTCAAATGCCATTTCAGACATTGCTATAGATTTTGCATACAAACCACAGATGTTCCTTCATTTAACCTGTAAAGCAACTATTAGACTACTAGTGTCTGTATTTGATGGATAATTAATCAAATAAAAGCAACATAATACAGCGACAGATCCCATAAAAATAGTGCAGTTAAAGAATTAATATACTGGGTCATAGTCTGGTTTTGCCCCATTCATAGTACTGAAACAGCTTTAATTAGAATAGTGAATGAATAATGCTTCTGTCTTCAGACACTGATACCGTCTCTGTTCTTGCCCTTGTAATCCTTTGACACTATCAATGATTACATATAAATTAATAATTAAAAAAACACTGTTGGCCTGTCTAATTGTGTCCTCTTCTCTTTGAAACTGTACAAAAACAGATTCTAGTAAGCCCAGTTACATACACCTACATGATGCGTGTTCATGTTTATTACAAGTTACATGTAAAGTTCCGCAAGGCTCTATGCTTGGACCATCACAGCCTTCCATATAGATACACCTCTGAGGGACATAATCAGGAAACCGATTTTCCTCAAGGTTTCTGTTATAGATGTATATGTAAACCTCAGACAGTTCAGTCAGTGTCAAGAACAAAGACTCCTTAGAATTGCAGAATGGAGGACCCTGTGTTCCTTATATCAAGAATGAGAACATTTTATAAACAGGCAAAAATACTACTGAACTATGTACAAGTTACATTAAAATTTACTGGTTCATCTTTTAAGTTTTTTCACTTTCCACTGACATAGGAGATGCAGGCCAACCCTAAGACAATTTGACTTGTACAATATAAGGTTGAATTAAATACTGACTTACAAAGCACTAATAAAATTATAGCGAAGAATGAAGTACTGTAAAGATATGTGGCGATAATATACAAAAATGTTAACATGACCTATGGCATTAAAACCATTACTGATTGTAATAAACATATTTTATACCAGTACCTTAGCACCTGCACTGAAATCATTTGGGAACATAAGAAAATCAAGCTTAAGATGGACTATAAATGTAGAGCACATTGCACCAGACCAGAAAGAAACTGTTCAGCTACGTTTGAAACAAACAAAATAACGGCCCATCCTTAGAAAGTACTCAAAAAACTCTCCAGTAACAATGCTGACAACAAATGACTAGGAAGATTAAGGAAATTACATTATGAACTAGAATAATAACTGGTTTCTTCTTCCCCACAGAATAAAGTATGAAAAAGCAAAAGTATTTATTTTTTTAAGTTATTGCATTATAGTTAGTAAAAAGACTTTCCTTAGTTACTAAACTCTTTGACAAAGTACAAAGTCACTGCAAGCAAAAGACCACTTTACTTCATTTGGATTGGCCTGAAGAAAAGTTAAACAGCCAATGAGCTTAACTGCTCCTACGGAGAGCTTAGAAGGTTAAACAGGGCATGGAATCTTCACTTTGGGAATGTCTTTCAGAAAAATTCTTGCCTAAGAGCTTTTGTTTCTGGACATGCTCTGTTAAGTAACAATGTTTACTGCTTGCTCATCATAATCAGGAGAAATGGTCTGTGTTTTTTCCCAGCATTACAGCTTGAATCAAGCTTGCTTTCTTGAACCTAAAATAGATATCAGCCAATGCTAATGAGCTTTAAAATGTGTACTGCCAAAATTCTAAGGATCACATAAACTACTGTAAGTCCACTGGTTCTCTGAAGGCTGAAATTATTAAATAACTGCTCATGACCTGGAAAAATCATTAAAAATGATTGTAGCATATATAATTGAAGCATATTATTAAGTCAACTGGTGTCATAAATAAAAGTTTGCTTGTCTGTATAAGGGAATATTCACATTTGACAAAGAGAAAAGAAAGCCAGTGCTATAGTGCTATAAAACCAGGATTGCCCCCAGACAAAGGACTCCCTGGAAACAAGTCTCTTCAGTCTTTTAAAAGCAATTCCAGATGATAAAATAAAATACAATTATTATTTTCTTATGCCATCATAGAAATCCAAATCTACTGTTTAAATGCCATGATGTAAAAACAAATGACACCTTCACATACATTAAAACATATTCAAATGTCGCTTAAAAAAATGTCAAACTTTATGAAAAATACTATACAGGGGGAAAATATTTTAAATATATGATTAAAATATCTCATGCTTATATAGTTGCATATTGCTTGGGGCAAGATGGGAGCTTTTTCATTTTTAATGAAAGTTTAAAAGAAAACATTAGTATGTACCAGACGTTTTAAATTACCAACATTTTAAAACCCATGTATTTAAGAACATGGATTATTATTAAGACTAGATTCATCTTTCCTCATGGCCCATGGCTTTGAGCCTGAAAATACATGCAAATGCCCTTCTCTATGTCATTTTCATGATTTGGTGCCCAGAACTGAATGGTGTGCTCCAGATCGGGTTAACTAGGTCATTACACAACTTCACTTTAACCTCTCTGAACTTCTGTTCAGTGCTCTTAGATGCAAACCCAAGCACTCTGTTTGCATTTTTAACTACTTCTTCAACCTAGACATTAGCAGTGATATTCAAAACATTTTACTTCACCCATAAATCGCTACCTCAGATCTGGACCACACATTTCAAAATTAAAATCATGATTTTATTACTAGCTGTGCCTCCCCTCAATCCCTTTAATTTTGTGTCATATCCACCCATTTTATAATCTTGATTGGATCTGTTTGGCTCACTTGTTTTACCTAATTCTATCAGATATTAGATAGATTGACTACAACTAAAACAGTCAATGTCTATTACTTTAAAATTTGCAAGCAATGTTCTTTGGAGTACTTTACAAAGCCCACTCCAATAAACAAATTACACAATGAAAAGCCAGTTTATCAAACAAAATATTTAGTAACAATTTTAATAAAAATCAGAGAATGCTTGTTTCAAGCAGGAACCTCCTCTAAGAAATTCAAGATGACCACCCATAATAGAATTAAAAGAAATTCTCAATTAAAAAGAAACAATACTGACCACTGGCCGGCACATTAAGTTCTCTTTGACAGTGTCCATGATTTTTCCACAAAAACTGTTATGCAAAAATTAGTTAGAACAGGAAAAATGCAGGTGAGTACCACACTGTGAAATATTAAAAGCCATAATATTGTGAGATAAGGTTGATTTTGCTAATATTTTATGTAGTTTACTTAATGTCTTTGTAATCAGTTTGAAAATATGGAGCACCCTCATACTGTACAATATAACCCAAAACATAACTGTGAATTTGCCATAGTACTACACGTATTAAGCTATGAAGGAGATAGATTACAAAGTCAATTATTTTCCACAAGTCCTTCAAATAGACCTGCTAGAAGTCAATTACCTCAAATCCTACAAGCGGTTCAACCATTCAAAGATGAGACCATTTATAATACTTTCATCTTAGAGCTTTTTCATGGGGCATTAAATCAGGTAGTAAAGTGGTAGGTAGTGGGAGGTAGACAGTACCACAGATAAATACAGAAATTCAGCTAAATTATGAGCACAGGTCAGCAATTTTTAAAGTTTCTTCTACTTCGGAAAGAACAAGCACTTAAAAATCACTCAAGCATTGACAATTGCACATATAAAAAATGTAAGTCAGCCAGTTACATAGACATATTAAAGGGGTGATACTTTATAGGAATCGTACAGCAGCTCTATCGAGCTCCCTGTACAGAAACATTTTGTGTAGTTCAGTTAATGCCCCTGTAATGTGTCTGAAAATATGGAGTACCCTATATTGTACCTGATGACCTATTCATATACTACAAAACACTCTAAATATCATTTCTAGATCCTCAAAATCACCCAAAACTAGGGCTGGGCGATATGGCCAAAAACATGATCACAATAATGTTTTTAATTAAAACATTAAAAAATTCCAATAAAAAATTTCATATTAGTCGATATCGACAATTATCATGATAAATGTCAAATCATTATTTCTTTCAAGTTTAAAGGCAGATTTTTTCTCCTGAGTGAAAGTTGAAGAAACCAGACAGTTAATTGGTAAATTAAACAACTCTTTATTTTAAGAACACAACAAACACTTGCCAAACAGCAGAAACAATAAACAAAACTGAGGTAAAGAGTATTCAAGTCTTTTTTATGTCAAAATATGCATGAGTAAAATTTACAAAATAAATATCTTAATAGAAACCTAAATACTGCAGTGTGATAAAAGGCAGCACAACATTTGCTTCAGTGTCACTCATTTCTCCACTCTAACTACAATCCTGTCAGCCACCACCGTGTGGGTAAACAACACCACATTAGCTGCCCGGTCTGGAAAACGCACGAGCACTCGCGCAGTATTTTGTGCGCATGCGCATATCATGTGCAAAGCATAAACATATATATCGAACATTTATCGAACTTTTGTTAAAATTATATCGAGGAAAATTATATAGTGATAATTATCATTATCGAATTATCGCCCAGCCCTACCCAAAACCACAACATTCCCCTTAAAAAAGGGTTCACCCCAGAAAAATTATCTTTGAGTTAATCATTTGGCCTTATTTTAATCTAACTTCCTCTACAAGGACAATCAGAAAATCAGAATCTTGAGGCAGAATTTTTTCCTACATTTTGGTTAATTCAGAATGGAATGACCACTAAACATAGTAAATATCTGC